AGTGGCCACAGTACCAAAGGGATCTGCCTGGCTACCTTTGTGGTTTTGACTGAGAAGATGTGGAGACTTTTCAAGGAGCTTTACAGCTGAGTTGAAGATCTGGACTAAATTGGCAACAGAACCCATGGCAGCACTGCATGTGCTCCTTTTAGTGGATGGATTTGTATACAAAACTTGGAAGGGAGGAGAAGGGGAGGGATGATCTTATAGCTGGTGATTTCACATAAGTGGCTAACCTCGCTTTGGGATAAGCCACAGCTGAAATGTGGAAAAATGGAATACTTTGAAGCTTGTGGAGCAGCACTGTAAACACTTAAAGTGGCAGTATTGTTAGCAGTTCTGTGACAGGCTTCCTATCTGTACAGAAGGAGAATTGGACAGAGCTGGATAAACTTTCTGCTTTGGTGGTAGAGGTTATTTAAAAATGTAAACCTGAGAAAGATGTATCGGTTTGACTTGGTTTCTTCTCCTCAAGTATTTTTTTTTTAAATCTGACTGTGGCTTCCGCGTGACCATGAGAGCACGCAGGGCTACATAAATACTGCCAGTATATGAGCATGTAGTATGTCTATATCGCGGCTATTCAGCAACATTATCTTAACTTGCTTATAGAACCAAAATGAAGGAGTTCTTAAATTTCATTCAGAAATAGTTTTCCTGACGTTGCTGAGCTTAGCTCTTAGTAATAGCTTACCCCCTTCCCACAGGAAGGTAGTCAGGCAGACTGGCAGACAGTAGTGGTACAGTATCAAGTGAAAGATTGTTCAGTGTCCCTCTTGTATGCCATTTATATATATGTAAACATTAACTCTGGCCTTAGAATGGGATTCTGTTTAGGTAGGCAATTCCTCTCCACAGCTCAATTAAAATAAGGTTAAACAGCCCTTTAGTACCAAATTTTGTTTTTAGAGGACTGTGCAAAATTTGTCTCCCATTTGGAGTGTGATCAGTGAGACTGAGGTAGTGATTAGTATGTGATCTTTGATTTCCAAGTGTGTCAACCCTTTTTAAATTTGAGAACTCAAAAGAGTTTTTGTATCTTAAGACTGTTGTAATTAAACTTGGAGATCTTTTTTCCTAGGATTTCTGAGCTTGACTTTAGAGTGAAAATCCATATATTTGCAGAGAATTTTTGTTCCTCCTTAATCTGTGTTCTCCATTAGCTAAGATCTCCTTAAACAAGGTACCTTTGGGTTTTTTTGTGTGTGAATTATATTTGCTCGGAAGTAAGGCTGCTCAGTACTGTTTTTGAAAATCCTGGGGAGCTGTCTAAACATGGGGGGAAGGAACTCCTTTTTGTGCTATGGCATCAGAAAAGAGAAGCTTTTGATGTGGATTGTTTGCTCCACTGCATATACTGCAGAAATCATTACTTCCTTTTAAGTGAATAGCATTTTTAGGGGTCCACATTCAGTCCAGAGTCTCGAGCAGTGGCTATATTGAGGCACTGCAGTGTCACCCTGACTGTTTTAAGACTCTGTAGAAATGGGACCAAAGAACATTCCACGGGGTTTTTTTCTCTTGATTTTTCTAAGGTTAGCTGAAAAGGGAGCAGCATCCCTTTTGCTACTCCCACTCCACCCCAACTGTAGTGTGTTTTATCTGTGATTTGTAACAGTCTAGGACAGATCAGAATTCAAGTGTTGTGCATTCTCAGTCAAAGCAAAAGATTGTCATTTACAGTTACGCATTTAATTGTGCCAGTTTGAAGCTTTTGATACAACATCATGCCATTTGGGATGCTTTTGGGGACATGCAAAAAATACATAAAGAGAGTGTTACACTAGCAAAATCTCAAGACCTAAGCATAGACAGAGGACGAGAAGAAGAGAAAAAGCAGAGTTCCTTGCTCTCTTTAGAACGGGAATTGTGTTTCGACCAAGCCTGGTCAAAAAACAAACAAATGAACAAAACAAAACAAAAAAAAAGCGCGCACACAAAGACAGGAGAGAACTGGAAATCACTGACAAAGTGCAGGGAGAGGAAGAGATGTCTAGTACCGTAAAGCTTATAGTGGAAATCATGCAGACAGTTCCAGCACTGTTAATAAGCCTTTTCGGAACAGTGACCAGAACAAGTATTATGCCATCTACCAGTTAAGCTGGAGAACAGGTTACTTACTGTGATGCTCCCTCTAAAGGAAAAACTGATGGGACTGTTGAACTGAATTCAAAGCAGGTATGAGAGACTTTTCAGTTTTAATCCAAGTTTTATGGAGGCACTTCCAGCAAAGAGCTATTATACTTTATCATCCCAATTTATCTTTATTAAGCTCTGAGGATAAAGACATATTGTAGCCTGCTGCCACTCATAAAATCTCTTAAAGGAGATTGAAGGGATTGCTGCTTGCATACACTTATGCTAGCAACCTGTAACGTGGGTAGGGAGGGAAAGAAAATTGCCTGTAAGGTGGGTTTTTTTTTTTACGTTTTTTTTTTATTATTTTTTTTAAGTTTCCATGCTATTACACTTTAATGTTCCGTGGTGCTGGGGAAAGGCCTTGGAAGCCTTTCATTTGCAGAACAGGATTTGAGTGTGCACATCACTGTCCCATGGGTGTGCCTGCTTGTGTGGCACTCTCAGACACCCCTGATGCTAGAAGTTCTTATTTTTCTAAAAATAGAGTGCAGTCTTGAACTGCAGTTTGCTTGCTTTTGAAGTAGTAATTGCATGGCTCAAAAGTAAGTTTTTTGCAAGAACATAGTTTTGGTGATGTTATTCTACTGTCATGTTTTCCCTTTCATTCTTTTTGATTTTTGGATACGTTTCAGGATGTGCATGAAATTTCTTCGGCTTAAATTAACTGACCGTAAAAATAACATCTAGTGTTTGTGCCTCTAACTTCCCTGGAAGCTGTCTCAATCCTATAAATTCATCATCTCATCCTGTCCTAATTACATGTTATCTTCCCTTCCCCCCCAATTTCATATTCACATGCATATGCCCTTCAGAGTGTTAAATCTCAAAACAGATTCTTTATGTTAAACATTGTCTAGCTGAAGGAAGTGCTGGTGAAAAGAAAACAAATCCAACTGATATATCGTTATTGGAAGTTGTTTTTATTATGGTCTTTTTTAGTAGTAGTAACAGTTGTAGCAGTGCAGTCAAACTTGTTGATTAATGCTCTACTTGGCTTATAAATCTTTAAATAGTGTCTGTAAGGATGAGCTGTTGGAGAGTTTCATATCACTGAAACTGAGTATGGTTGTTGTAGAGACAGTGCAAATCTGATGTTGATCCGATTGTTTCCCTGTAGAGTGTATGATCTCATGCTTTCAAAAAGAAAGAGGAAATAAGGAAAAAATGGCATTAGGTTTCTACATTTTCTGTGCTGTTTTTCTTTAGTGCTAGCCTTACAGTTATTTCTCCCACTCCTTTATCTTTTATTTCTCTTCTGGGAGTGGAGGGGGAGGTACCGAAATGGGTTTGTAGACTCTCTTACTCCTTAGCTTGGGCATGAGCTGTTTTTTTTACTGATTTCTGTACTTCAACTCATTGGTCTTATCTCTTAATATGATAATCTGTTATTGGTTTTGGTTTCAAGGTAACTGTGCCCTTGTGATATGGAAGCGTGTAATCATTTGGGTAAATACATGCCTTTTTTAAGGGTGGTAGTTTACCCTATGAGCTTCAAAATACATTGCAACGCACTCTGAGGGTTGTGCACGTCACTGCACAGAGTTTCTTCATATTAAGCATGTCTACTACATTCCAGTAACAATACCCTCTCCCTTGGTGTATATATACGATATTGTTCTTGTTAGTTGATTTAAAGCGTGTACACATCTTTGTTACCGCAGATGGGAATTCAGGCCATTTAGAACGTGAAGTTCCATATAGTTTCATTTTCCAAATTGCCACATTTCATAAATAAGAAATGGTCTGTGCTTGCTGGTGACATTCCTTTGGGCGTTGAGGTAGTAATTGTAAGGTAAAACAGTAATGCTAGACTAGAAGCATCTGTGGGATCAATGTGCTATAGCTGCTTGCAGGTTGAAGTAGTGAAAAAGCTTTTGTCTTGGTGGAACTCTTTTTTCCTTTAATTGAGGGAATGAAAATGCATATTTAAGTTGTCAAACAGCTGCCAGAAAGTACGGGAGTAGATTACCTAATGTGGACATATTTGAATGGTCTCTGAACTAGCGAGTAGGACAAAAGAAAATCTGCTATTTTAATGATTCGGACGTGCTGTGGGTGTAGGATGTCTGTTGTACTCTTGGAGGAGCTGAAGATCGGTCTGTACCGTATGTTCAATTTTGGAAAAAAGTAGTTGCGAGAAGGTGCAAGTTTGACATATTGGTTTATGATTAAAAACTAGTAACTTCAGTGTAAATAAGGCTGCAAGCCACTGAAAAACAACTTATTTTATCTAAAATATGGGCATGTCTACTGTGCTAGCACCTCAGCAGCTCATGCTGTGTAGCCTTTTAAGAAAGTTGTTTTAAGACTGCTACTAGATATATAAGCTGGTTAATTTGAGACATTTAAAAGGCTCTTCAAAATTAATGTATTTTGATAGCTGCTTTTAAGGTATTCAGGAAAAACATATTTTTATGCAAGCAGGTCAAATACGGTGAAAGACTGCTGTGTCAGCAATAGTGTTTTTTTTGTTTGTTTTTTTTTGTAGTACTCTCGCAAGAGCAAGACGGGTAGAAAATGTTTACGCAGTAAGTGGTTTAGTTTTAATAGTCTTTCTCCAAGAGTTGGGTTAAATGATCAAGAGGGAAGAAAACATAGATGGCTTCTTCTAGGAAGTTACAAATAGACATTTTTATTTACTAGAAATTCTTTTTTACCGAAGTCTGTTGCCTAGCACGGTGGTAACACTGCATAATGCGTCTCCTGAGGGTGAGAATCGGTTTCTGCCAGCACAGCTGTAAAAGCAGCTGGAATATGTGGTTGGGACAGATAAGGTTGGCAAGCTGTCTATTCTTCTCTTTTATAACTAATCAAGTCTTTTTCTTAATCAAACTTTTAGGGTTTTTTGTTTTGTTTTGTAGGAACTTGTTTACCAGAAAGCAAAATGCAAGATTTGAAAAACAAAATGATGTGGGATGGAAGTTGTTCGGAAAAGTACCCCTCAGAGAAAACTCACAGAAAGATCCAAAGAAGATGCAAAAGGTATTTGCTGATGTCTGCTTTAAGATTAATGTTGAATGTAGAATCTAGTTAAATTTATGATCTGCACATTTGACTGTGAAGCTTGTTTGAAGATTTATGCACAGTTTCTTGGACAATGTCAAAGATGGTTTTTGTTAATTTTTTTTTTTGCTTCCATTGCAACACAGAGTGCTGTTCAAAAGACTGTGTTATGCAAGGTCATTGCGCGCTTCATGAAAGTACATACCTCTTTGATAGAAAGCATTTGATGTGAAGAGTAAAAGTATATGAATGCATATTTGGTTTTTATAACCAAATATTTTGGTTATATATATATATATTTTTTTTTTTTGAATATGTTTCAATTTTCTTCATTTTTATCTTATTCTAGTATTTACTTGTTTATAGCCATTGTGTCATAGGCCCATATTATAACGTACTATTTGAAGGGAAATTGTGTTCTGGTGCTAGGCCTTGCTTAAGTAGTAATTTAAAATATGCGAAATCAGGGTAGACTCAATGCGATAAAACGTCAGAAACTTCTGTTGGTATGCTGATTTCACACGTCCCGTGTTTTTTGGAGTGTTTGCTCCTTGGGGTTGAAATGTTCCTTGTATAGGCCTTCTTGGAAGTTTGGTTGCTGACTTGAAATATTGAATAATGTAATATCTTTCAGGGGAGAGTAAGTGAGATAAATTTTTTTTCTTGCACGGTGTATTTCAAAAGGGAGTATTTCAACTATTTTGAAATTGTTTATTAAAGTGGTTCCCTGAACAGGAAAATCTTTAAAAGCATGAGCACCCCTCCTCCCAAAGAATTTAGATATCTCTGAGTCTTCATTGCAGTTTAGCTGGGTTTGGTGCCGATTTGTACTTGTGCATAATACTTATGTTTGCCAGTAGTAAGTTTTTTAAATCCATCACTTGTTATATTTTAGACCGGCTTTTTATTATGAGAGGGGTAGACATCATCTTTTCAGACTTTCCTTTAGGGCCTCCTAATGGAATAAAAATGAGGTGAAATCCTCTTTTCTCTTTCTTTGCATATCACTTCTAAAGCTACAGAATTAAAACGTTATTGAAAATATAACACAGTGTTTTATAAACGTTAGTTCTACTCCAGACAAAAGCGAGCACATAACCAGTGAATCAAATAACCTATCTTTCCCAATGAGGAAGAATATTCTGGGATCCGAGTATGTGATCAATAGCTTATAAGATATTTCTTCTGTAAGAAGAACTGTCTTCATCTTTGTCACTTGATCTGGGATATTTGGGTCATATGTAGGCTAATATTTTGTGTTTGGGGTTTTGTTGCATTCCATTCAGTTCTTAGCGGTATTTGAAGCTAGGCGTTCTCTCTTCTTTGTTCAGACCACTGTGGGAACAAGAAGGTTTACAGGGAGAGAGGCCATATAGGCAGAACTTCCAAAGCAGCTGCTCTTTGTGAAATTAGAGTTCTTATTTGAAGGGTGGCGCTGCTTCATTTGGGATGAAGTGCTCTGGAAATCCAGGGGGGCTCATGTGACTGTTCTTAGCTGTGGGCTGTTGATTTAAATGAAGCATAGCACCTTTATTAAGTTTTCTTTGAGATCAGCTGTTCAGATTCTTATGTATAGTTTGTCTTGAGACAATGAACAGTTCTGAAATGTTCACCAGAGATCTGTTGATGACAAATTTGAAGAGGCTTGATAATTGCAGTACTTTGACACTGAAGTGTGTTTCATGGTAGTGACCTTTTCTTTGAAGAGTTGGTGAATAAGTCGTTAATATTTTGTGGTTGTTTCTGGCACTCTGGGTATTTTTCCACTAGGATCCAAACTGTCTTGCGTTTTCGGTGTTCCTAAAACATTACAACTTCGGTTGCATTAAATTTATTAGGGGAAAAAAAAGCAGCTATTAAAGAATTACGTGCTATGGCATCCAGCCGCCAACCATTAGTGAGTTTCTGGCAAAATTGTAAGTATTAAACAATCGTTCTAATTCCTCTTGGATAACAATAAGCCTTCCTGGTTTACTTGCTTTCGTGAAGCTGTTTTTGAAATGTAGAACTTCCTAGACTTGAGTAATGCTGTAAATGACTGATCCAATCTCACCAGCACCCAAAAGCACATCCCAGCTTAGACTGCCCACTGAGGCTGCTTTGGCAATCACAAAGTGGCACTGATGTTGCAGAGATGTTTGCCCACTTGGAGGCATGCTTTTAGCCCTGTGACTTGAGCTCTTTTGGGCACATGATTTGGGCCCAAAGAACTTGGGAGGAGAAGGTGACAGCATGTGGCTATTAGGATGGCACATGTGGGCTTACAGCCGTTCTTCCCCTTTCTGAAGAAAGCGTACTAGCCCAGAAGAACAAATGCTCTGCACTATATTCCTACCTTGAGGTGTGTATTTTATTTCCAGGGCCAGGAGAGTATGTGCCTAGAAGAACCTTGTCTTATGTATTGAAGAATTTGGAGGTATGCAATGAAATGTGGGGAGGTGGGGAAGAAGATGGCTCTGAACAAGATAAATGATTAGTGTCCTCTAAATGACTCCAGTGTCTGCAGTTGCTACAAAGTTCCTATGGGGCATGAAGCAAGATGCCAAAACTACTCCTTTTCTTTTCTTTTCTTTTCTTTTTGAAGCCACTATTAATTGTGGGTGCTTTGTGCTTTACTTGAAACTGGGCTTGATTTTTAGAGGTTCTGGGGTCTCCCTTGCAGCTGAGCGTGATGGGAGTTATACTTGGACTATATGAAATCCTCTATAACAGTAGGTGCCCTGAGAATCGCATCCTCTGTGGATGCAGAGTTGGTGGCTGTTCTGGAGCCTGAGGCTTGATATCTTGATCACGTGGTTCATGGCTTGACTGTCACACTGTCATATGAGATGTTACGGTAAGCATCTGTGGAACGCTCTTGCAGAAATTGAGAGAGCTGGGGCTTGCATACTGTGCTGTCAGTGAGTTGTGAGGCTGTGGACGATGACAACATCATAGTTGTTAATTGTAACACTGTCCATTCTACGGACTGAGTGGAATGGTCTCTGTGGAAAATACCACCTAGACAGAAGGGGCTGGTTCAAACCTGAAGTATGCTTTTAGTGTAATGTTGTATGTAATTTTCTATACACATAAAGAACACCAAATTGGAGTGACGAGAGGGTGAATTGTTATCTGACTTCATGGGAAATCAGGGTTGAATTCTGTGGTCCATTGATCTCTTGAGCTAATGAAGTGATTTTAGCAGCAGTTATCTGTCACTTCATGTCATGGAATTTCTGGTTACATTATGGGATTGGGCTTGTGCAAGTTTCTTGATGAGAAACAGACATTGCTAATGTGCTGCTGCACACAGATATCGTGGACATAGCTTCCTACCCCTAGTACATTCTGTTCCTTCTGAATTGTGTATGTGCAGGGTTATCTGATTTCATTCACAGATCTTTCTGCTCTGACGGTCTGTCTTGTTGCTAATGGTCTGTACTGCTGAGATGGTGTACAAAAGAGAAGCACCTTGACATGCCTCTGTAACTTTTTAGCGTTTTACCTCTCAAGTATTTATCTGGATTTGTACTGAAGAGATGTTTGATGCTTTGTGAAAGGATTTCATACCTATTTGCTGGCAGCAGAAAGCTGACAGGATTCTGACATTCTGCTTCCAAGTTGGTGAAACAGGGAAGGGGAAGCATGTACCTCCCTCTCAAGCTTAAGCCTCTCTTTCCTATTCCACTTCTCACCCCTCCTAGGGCTGGATATTAATGGGGTACTTGAAACAGAGGTTGTTTATTGAGCAAGAGTCCTTGCGTTGTATGTCTGCTCAGCCTTGACTTGAATATTTTTTCCTTGAAAAAAGATCAATAATTCGTACTGTGGTGTCCAAGTCTTTCTGCAAATTGTCAGTTTAGTTTTTTTTCTATGTGGTGAAATACGCTCCGTTGCATAGACCGTAGCACTACATCTGCCTGACTACATAGGCTCTTTAAGAGAGTTCCTATGGGCAAAATCTTGATCCAAGTTAATTTTGAGGCAAGTTAGAGGAAAGGTGACTTTCATTTCTTTATCGTGATCTTTACTGCATTATGTTTTTCTGTTTCAAAAAAGTCAAGTTCCCTGTAACTTGTGCAGACTTTAGGAAATCCTCTGGAGTATCAGAGATGCCACAAAATACCCAGGCTCTAGCAATAACGATGGTCATCAGTTGATGTATGTGTTTGTCCTCAAGCTCAACATACCTAGGGAAATCAATCTTACTGGACTTGCTTGGTGTGAAGCTCTTTGTGTGCATGAACAAAGGTGACTGAGTCATCAAGCAGCACTTTCTCAAATCATCTTCTTTTGCTTCTGGACAAACATCAAAGAAATCCTGGTCAGCTGGTTAGAACCCTGTGACTATCCCATAAATCTGGCTGTAGACTCCTGTAGTGACTACTTCCTTGGCATGTTTGTGGTTCCATCTTTTGATACCTTTACTATGTGGCTTTTCTTTTCTTTTCTTTTCTTTTTTTTTCCCTTCTAAAATGAGATGAACTAAGGTCAACTGCAAATTTAAACAATCTTGACAGAGAAGGATGATTGCGCTCACGTTTTTGAAATTTGTGTACAGGCGATAAGAGTTTTTAAAAACATTCTTACTGTACATAGTTCTGATACTTTCCCCATAATAATCTCGTCTGGGACTAAAAGAAACTTGCAAGAAATAATGTGCTTGTGAGGAGTATTTGTTTGTAATACGAGAGAGGAAAAAGAAGTAGCTGAACTGTGAAGTGGTTAACATTGTTTTTTAGAATTAACAGTTATTTCCTTTACGGCTTGTGCTTATAAATAAATATAACCCGAGTTCCTCAAACTTTAGCGGCAGTTCACAAGTTGAACACTATTTCACTGCAACTAAAGATGGTTGTACATATGCAACTAAGTTGGGCACGATCTGTGAGGAGAAGCAGCTCTTCTTTTTTGTCTGACCTCAGCTGGGAAAAAGAATAGTCAGACAGGTTTTGAGCACGTAAGCCTTTTCTCAAGTCCTATAGATACTATTTTAA